AGAACAAAGAATACACTCAGTCGTCTCTATGCTCTGGCTTCGCTGGTCGTAATTGCGTTGTCATCTGGAATAGGAACTGTGATCTGGAACGAGGATTGGTAGGGTAACATTTGGAGGTTCTACCGAGATTCTATTTCCTGGAGTAACGGAGCGGATGAAGCGATTGCGACGAAGAAACTGCCACTGCCGCCAGAGTGAGAGAGAAAAGTTCGCGCCAAAAGTGGTCACGGGACAAAAGGTCAGAGAGGTCAAATCATCGTAAACAAAACAAAGTTCAAGGGTTAACAAGATGGCGCCGCGGTTGTAAGGGGGAAGGCGACTGCAGTATTGTTGCTACGAAAGAGAGGTTGAAAGTCGGTGCGCCGAATCAAGATTACGGTAGTTTTAGAGGGATATTTGAGCACTACAAGAGAAGTATGGCGGAAGGAGGAAAAGGCGCACAGAACAGTAGTAGTGACGATAAAACATCAGGTCCTCAGACGCCGGAGGTGACGATGAAAAACCTAGTTGATGCCACCACGAACCTGGCACGAGTAGTAGACGGTTGTTTCACTGGGATAGAGCGCTTGGGAGAGAGACTGGCCACTTTGGAGGGTGAATCTGCTGGAGAAGGAAGCCACACTGTAAGAAGAGCACTCTGGCAATCGGAGAAGAAGTCAATGTGGAAGGTGGATAGCAGCAAGGGCAACCAACAAGCAGGGTCCAACCACAAGAAGGACTTCAAGATCACAGGCCAGATAGGTGAGCTGAGTTTCAGTTCCATCACATACCAGATTAAGAGCGGGTTGCGCCAGGGGTATACCGAAGGAGAAGTTATTGATGCAGTGATCAAAGCTATCCCACCAAGCTCACATCTGCGGTCATACCTGGAGGGTCAGGACCAGCTGAGTCTAGAGATAGTAGAGCAAGTTGTCCGGGCCCACTGCTCACAGGAAACGGCGACAGATTTGTACAGACAGCTCAGCCTTGCCAACCAGGGAGTGGGGGAATCGCCGACTGAGTTCCTGATGAGGGGTATGAGTTTGCGCGACAGGGTGGTAGCAGCGTCAAAGGAAGAAGATGGACTATATGACGCCAAATTGGTCCAGGCGATGTTCCTCCGTTCGGTACAAACAGGCCTAAGAGACAACAACATCAGAATGGAAATGAAGCCGCACCTGGTAGCCAACTCCAACAGTAGCGACGTCCTACTGTTGGAGAAGATGGGCCGAGCCATCGTGGACCAGAAAGAACGGGACGAGAAGCTCGCATCAACAAGCTCACCTCAACAAGTTCACGTCAACAAGATCACTGTAACAAGCCCGCGGTGCAACCAATGTACACAACAGGGGATGGAGCTGTGCCGTCATTGTTTCAGGTGTGGGGGAAACAACCACATCGCTCGGTGGTGCCGAACACCAAACAAGAACCAGGGAAACGCTTCAGGGGCACCCCAAGGGGACGAGGGGTCGTCCTAGGCAGCTCACAACCGTCCCAGAAACGACAACAACAAACAACACCAAATAATAACAATCAACAGCCCTCGGTAACAAAAACTAACAACAAACAACAACAACAAACAGCAACAGCAAACAACAATCAACAGCAATCGGTTCACGTCAACGCCATGACTGCGTCACATCTAACACCAAAACAAAGAACTAAAATAACAAAGTTAGTCGGGAATTGGTGCCTGGTGTCGTGTAAGATGGATGACCAGCCAGTCCTGGCATTATGGGACACCGGCGCACAAGTGAGTATCATGACAGATACGTGGAGAGAGAAGAATCTACCAGAGATCAAGGTCAGACCAGTAATAGAGATACTTGAGGACACAGCAAGCCTCAACTTACAGGCGGCAAATGGTACAGAGATCCCAGTACAGTGGATGGGTAGAGG